CTTGGTCTTGGGTGTCTTATCTAAATAACAACAGACTTGGTCTGGGGTGTAATTTCTCTTGACCCTCAAGGTCAGATAACAAGAAGTTAAATATAGGGTGTGGTCACCAAATCTTTGAAGAATTGAGGAAATGTCTGTTTGTTCCGGATATATAATACCATGCTCCCCTTTTTGGTTAAGGTATTTAAGAATGGTGAAAAATAAACTTGCAGTGCTCAGTATTGACTGAATATACCCTACTGATTTCATTCCTGTGTCTCTGTCTTTTCTTTTAATGTTTTTAGCTAGCCTTTTCTTTATCCACACTCCCTCCTCCCCTTTCAGGTACAAACCCTGGGCTGGTCGGCTGGCTCCGACTGCAGCCCGGAAAAGACAGCTTCCCACATTGTACCTAACAAGTTTTGACAGAAGCCTGAACATTATATGTGAAAACTTCAGCTCTGGTTCAGCCAACCACATGCTGTGTCCTACAGGCTAAATCTGGTTTGTACCTGTATTTTGGCCTGGCCTTAAGGTAAAATATGTTTACTATATTTTCAAATATAGTTGAAAGATTATTTGGTGACACTTCAACATAAAATTAAAATTTTGGTGTCCAAAAGAAATTTTACTGGAATACTGCCACACTTTCTATATATTCATCTATCATATGATCAGGAAGATGCCTGCACCTGGGATTTGGTTGACTCAGAGTTCTTTTTTTTTTTCTTTTTAAGATTTTGCTTCTTTATTATGTATACAGTCTTCTGCCCACATGCCAGCAGAGGGCGCCAGATCTCGTTCAAGGTGGTTGTGAGTCACCATGTGGTTGCCGGGAATTGAACTCAGGACCTCTGGAAGAACAGTCAGTGCTCTTACCTGCTGAGCCATCTCTCCAGCCTGACTCAGAGTTATTAAGGGGACTGTTCAATTTGTGGCTTATCTGCACCCACTAGCTGTAACTAAAAGCCTGGTACTTTTATCCAGGCTCCTGTTAGTTGATGGGCCCCATACTATATATAATTCAGGATCATAGTCTACAGCTCACTTTCCCCTTAAGATCATAGATCTTCAGCCGGGTATTGGTGGCAAATGCCCTTAATCCCAGCACTCGGGAGACAGAGGCAGGCAGATCTCTGTGAGTTCGAGGCTAGTCTGGTCTACAGAACGAGTGCCAGGATAGGCTCCAAAGCTACACAGAGAGGAACATAGATCTTCGAAAGCCTTAGTGCTTCAGTAATGCTTTTAAATAGACTAACACGTGCATGTGCTTGAGGGAGTGTGCATGTGTTGCAGCATTTCTCATCTGAGTGGGAAGAACAGTCAACAAACCAGACTGACATTGCGAACATAGAAGTTCCAATATTTGTATTTCTAGATTTTCCAATGGCTTTCCATCTTACTTTAGAGAGCTTTGTAGTGTCTTCAGTTCACAGATGAGGATTATACAGAATCCATTAGCCTTTGATGCCAAGACTGGAGTTTTCTTTTGCTTCATCCACTGTCCTTGAATATATGAACACAAGGACAGAGTCTCTTATTCCAAAACTCAATTTTCTTGTTTGTTCTCTGACATTTCATAGGTTACCCATTCCTTCCAGCCTCCAGCATAGTGCTGAGCACTGAAAACATACAAAATAATGGCAGGTTTCATAACAGAACATTGGGAGGAACTTTGCAATAGCTACTCAACCATACTATCTTGATTCTGTCTATCTAAAAAAATTATTGGTTTTGAGTAGGTTGTTAAGACACATGCCCTTGGTCTCTAAACTGCCTTCATTAACAGTATTTATTTATTTATTTATTTATTTATTTATTTATTTATTTATTGCCTCGGTGGTAGTAGCAATTAAATCCAGGCACTTGTGCATTTTAGGAACATGAGGAACCACTAAATTACACCAACAGCTCCAAGAAACTTTTTTCTTTTCTCTTTTTCTTTTTCTTTTTGAGACAAGGTAACAATGTAGCTCTGATTGGCTTTGAATTTTTGTTACATACGCATATAGGTGTTTTGTCTATGCCACACGCATGCCTGGTGCCCTAAGAGAAGAAGGCATCAGATATATCAGATATCCTAGAACTGGACTTACAAACAGCTTGAGGTACCATGTGGATGCTAGAAAACAAACCTGGGTCCTCTGGAATTGCAGCCAGTGCTCTTAACCATTGAGCAATCTCTCCAGCCCTGTCTCCTCCCCAAAAGATTCTTTGCTTTGGTTGGTTGGTTAGTTTGGTTTGGTTTTTCAAGACGGCCCTGGAACTCAGAGATCCACCTGCCTCTGTCTCCTGAATATGATATTCTTAAATACACTAAGATATTTATTTTCATTTTATTAGGATGGAAATTGTATCCACGGCTTTTTATATCCTAGGTAATTATGCTACCACTGAGCTATAGTCCCAGCATCCCAAATGGCTATATAACATTGCAATCTACAGTGCACAATCTAGTTTTTCCTTCATTCACACACCTGTTAAAGCCCAGTGATAATGCTGTGTTCATGGCCTGCTTACTTCTTACTCCAGCAAAACAAGAAAACACTAGACTGTCAGATTTGGATGGCTTCACTTCATGGTACTTCTCTTTGAAGTCCCTTGGGTTCATCTGTAGAGCTTCACTTACCTCATCCACTGCAAGAAAATGTTAAAGCATTCAATTAAGTTTTGAATGTAATCATTTATTATATGAATCTATTTAAAACACACATCACTTACATGGTATATTGATTGATCCAGGTATTTTTCCATGCTCAAGAATTTCCCATGTTTCTCTAACATCAATTAACATAATATTTTTGGAGTTCAATAGGTTTTTTAGTTCCCTATAAGTGACATCCTTAGGGAGAGTAGAGTAAAAATGTTGGCTGCTTCCCCATATTGACTTCAAACCTATAAAAAAAAATTTTAGACAACTTTAAAGTGACATTGGTGTTAACAGCAATAAGTAGGTTATAGCTAGATGACATAACTGAGTTCACCTTTTTACTTTAATAAACTCTGGATACACATACTCTATTCCTGGTTCATGACTTGGAAGTACATAGAACTTCTCAGAGTGGGAGATGATAGCTTTGTTTTAATGAGATTGACACTGGTGCCCTAGACAGCTGTAGAGTGGCACTGATCACCCAAAAGACCAAGCCATGAATAGAACTAGGATCTTTCGTGCCTGGTCTTCTGTGTAGTGGAGTAAAGGCTAGAAGATAAATTACCAGTCAACCGTTAAGATTATGGCACTTTCATTAAAATCGTTGAAGTCTGGAGATCTACTGGGTTAACATGTCCAAACATTGCAAAGACAGCACACCGGAGTTCCATGAAGATGGAAACACTTGCACACTTGCACTTAAGATTCCTCTCAATCTCATACCATGACTTCTTCAGCATTTTTTTTTTTTCTTTTCTTTTAGACAGGGTTTCTCTGTAGCTTTGGAGCATTTCCTGGAACTAGATCTGTAAACCAGAGGCTGGCCTCAAACTCACAGAGATCCACTTGTCTCTGCCTCCCTAGCACTGGAATTAAAGGTGTGTACCACCACCATTCGGCTTGTATTCTTTATTAAATCATTGAAAATAAACTGATAAAAAGTGCTGACCTGATTTCTGTAAGCGATTTACTGACAATGGAGAAGGAATCATGGGCATCTTATTTATGTTCATTTGGTCAGAAATAAGGGAAGCTGGGACTTAGGAATCGTGTCTAAAATGGGGACAGTTTTGTTGCAAAGCCCTTGTGGTATCTTCGCTAACTGTGGTAGCTGGATCAGAATTAAATTTTAAGACTCAAATAGAGAAGTTTGGTGTGTGGTGGTAGCTCAGTAGTGAAGTGCTTGCTTATAATATGTAAGCCCGTGCTCAGTCCTGACATACCTAAGAGGAGAAAGGTGTGGTGAGCAGAGCACAGAAAAGCCCCTTCCAATCTGCACACATTCTGACCGACAAGCAGCCCGTTTTCTTGTTCTGAATGCTGACCGCTGGCCTTCTGCCACTTCTTTCAAAACCTTTTAGCTAGCAAGACCTTAGGAATGTATCAACCATTTAATAATTGTTATCCATTTCATTTGCTAATCCCACTCTTAACTCTAGTGCCAATATTAAAGAAAACTTCAACTACATTTCTCTTTGCAAATAGATAGTAACTTGTATATCATAGGGTTTCTGTTGTGATAAAATACCATGACCGAAAGTATCTTGGGGAAGAAAGGGTTTGTTTCATCTTATAGTGCATAAGTGCATCACTGAGGGAAGCCAGGGGCATGAACTCAGGGCAGGA